GTGAAAACTAAAATGCAACATTCCCATACTTGTAGGTTGCAAAATGTATTAGTATAGTATTTATTACCATAAAGTAGTACGTCATAATTCCTTATCCTTTTATATACTTTCTTGTACTGCTTTAGTAACACCTGTTTTTACTGATGTGAAACTTAGAAAGCTCAGGGAACTTTCCCAGGGTTACTCAGCCAGTAAGAGCTAGACTTGGCATTCAGGGCCAGGTGTCTTGGCCAGGGCTTGTGATCTTTCTATTATACCACACTGTTGTTAGCCATGCGCCACCAGCTTGGGCTTGCTGGGCCTTGGAGGTCTCTATGTTGGGTCTAGAGATACTTTTGTGCTGGTGGTTCATTCTGACCTAGTCTGGAGGAAGTCCGTATGTGAGGCCTAATCTGTTCTGGTTAGATTAGAGGCCTGGCCTACTGCCTCAGGGAAATGCTGCATAGCCACTGGCTGCTGATCCACTGGGAGCTATGGGCAGAACTCAGCATTTCTGTGTGTGACTTGCCTGCATTCCTTCTCCAGCTGTTGCAACCAGACAAGGTTTCAGAGATGGATAATCATGATGCTTGTACAACAGTGTGGATGAACTCAGTGACACTGGACTGTACACCTAAAAATAGTTAAAACAGTGAATTTTATGTTATGTATATTTGACTATAATTACAAAAATCTTTAAAAAAAAGTGGGTAGAGGAGCAGTATACAGAAATCACTCATAAATGGAAGGACTAACATTTTTTAAGCACTACCAAGAAAGCTGGGCACTGTGCTATTAATTTGATAGAACTTTCTTTATAAATCTTACGACCACAAGTGAGTATGATTAGCCCTATTTTATAGCAGCAGGATAAACTGAGACTCAGAGTTAAAGTGACTTGCTTAGAACAACCTAGTGAGAGGGAGGTCTAGCATCTGACCCCAGATCTTTCTGAACTTACTATGCCGTAGATACTGAGGTCTGAAAAAAAGCTGGAAAAATGGAGGCAAAACAGTTTTGTTTTTTGTTTCGCTCAGAGGACTTTTGTCTTAGTTTGTTTGGGCTGCTATAGGAAGATATCATAAACTGAGTAGCTTATAAAAATCAGAAATTTACTTTCATAGTTCTGGAAGCCGGGAAGTCTAAGATCAAGGTTGATTGGTCGTCTAGTAAGGTCTTGCTTCCTGGCTCATAGATAGCCATCTTTCGTTGTAACCTCATGTGTTGGAAGGGGCAGGGAGTCTCCTCCAGGCCTCTTTTTTTTTTTTTTTTTGGAGTTGGAGTCTCACTCTGTTGCCCAAACTGGAGTACAGTGGCCTTCCAAGTAGCTGGAACTGCAGGCGCATGCTACCACACCCGGCTAATTTTTCGATATATTGTAGAGATGAGGTCTCACCAAGTTGCCCAGGCGGGTCTCAAACCCGCGGGCTCAGGCAATTCACTCACCTCAGCCTCCCAAGGCGTGGGATTACAGGCTGAGCCACCGAGTCTGGCTTCAGGCCTCTTTTAAAAGGATGCTAATCCCATCTATGAAGTCTCTGCCCTCCCAAAGTCCCTGCCTTGTAATGCCATCAGTCTTGGGGGTGAGGATTTCAGCACATGACTTTTGGGAGGATATAACATTGAGAACATAGCAGTTTTTAAAACATGGCACAGAAGTAATGAAAATCTTAGGTTTGTCACTTTTTTGTCTTTTCCCTGGCCTTGACACAGAGGGACAGCTGTTGTTGGCCAGAGCATGGGAGAGCCTAAGTGTACTTGGCATCCCTAGGAAGAAAGAGGGGACGCCTAGTGGAACCCTCTATCTGCCTGCTTCAGTGTCCCAGATGATGGTTCGTAGCTTCTGTTTTATTGTGGTCGCCCAAGAAATGAACCTGCATGAGCTGCCCCGGTGACCAGTCTGCCTTACTACTACATGCAGTCACATTCTGACCGTTCTGCATCTGCTCCACACCTGAAGTGCTTCGTGATAAAGGGGACTTGTCACTTAATCACCCTGGCCAGCTCCTCCATGGCCCTCCATATCACCTCCATTTCCAGAGGCCCCCTGAGTGGTAGGCTGGAGACTTCACCAAACACTGACCCCACTCATGCCGTTGTTCTCATTTCTGGTGTAGTGTTTTCCTCTTTTCCCTTATTTTTGCCCTTCTTGGTTTTAAACTTAAAAAGATAGCTTTTGTTCCTGCCAGTGGAAACTTCCCCGTCGTATCCTGCTTGTCGGCATTCTTGCTGTGCCTCATGGATGAGGCATTTCATCATCATTCTGGGTTTTTCCACACAGCAGGAGTGACCACGTTCTGACCATGGGAGGATTTGGGAGCCACACAAGGAGCTGAGGGCAGAGGGAGACATTTGTGGAAGCTTCTGGGTTACTAAAACAGTGTCAGCCTTCTCAATGCTTTTAGACTTACTCTGACAGTACCTGGTATGTCCATCATGAGCTGACTTGATTTATTTATTTTGTCTTAAGTATGCTCTTGAAAATAAAATGGCTCTTGGCGGCACCAGATTGGGAAAAACAAATCCACACAGAAAGTGGACTTGTGTGGAGGGCTTAGAGTAGCTTCCCTAAGGTTTTTTATTGCTGTTGTTTTGTTTGGTTGTTTAGCAAGTCAACCAGTGAAGCTGTTTCTTAGGTTCCTGTTTAGTCCCTTTCCAGGTACAGAGTTCTTGCTACTCTGCACTATAGAAAACAAAACTAACACCCCTCCCTCCCCCATTCAATTATAAAATTAATGTTCTTTCTACTATAAAATCCAGAGAAGATTAAAGGAAAAAAGCAATAAAAGCCAGATAATCCCTTCAACCTAGACATTATTTGTTAGCTTTTTGATGTGTTTTTTTCATATACATTTATACTTCCTTTCTTCTTTTTTTTTTTTTCGTTGAGTCAAAGTCTCACTCTGTTGCCCAGGCTGGAGTGCAGTGTGCATTCACGGCCACCGCAGCCTCGACCTGCTGGGCTCAGGTGATCCTTCCGCTTCAGCCTTCCAAGTAGCTAGAACTACAGGCACACGTCACCATACCCAGCTAATTTTCTGATGTGTTGTAGAGGTGAGGTCTTGCCACGTTGCCCAGGCTGTTCTCGAACCCCTGGGCTCAGGCAGTCCTCTTGCCTCCACCTCCCAAAGTGCTGGGATTACAGGTGTGAGCCACCGTTCCCGGAGTCACTTATGCTTTCTTTTAAACAAAAAATTGAGATCTTACTGTTTTTCCAAACATTATACTGAAACCATTTAAGCATTTTCTCATGCCATTAAACCATTCTTAAAAACCTCACATGGATAGGCTATAAAATGTTGAACCATTCCCATTTTGGGAAACTTATTTGCAGTTCTGCACTGATATAAATGATGTCTTTGTAGTTTAATCTTTGTCCTCATTTATTATTACTTCCTTGAGAAGAGACTCTTAGAATTATTGAATCAAAGGATATACATATTTTTGCATTTCTTTTATATGGACAGATTGCTTTCCAGGAAAACTTGTACTAAAACAGAATTCTACCAGCAGAAAGAGAGAAAGTCTGCTGTTTTGTCTTTCGTGTTTACAGCTATTGATAATTTATTAAGTGAAAAGTAGTACCTGATTGGTACCTTAATTTACATTTGATTATTAGTGACATTGAACACTCCGTTTTTATTAACCACTTTTATTTCTTTTATTAGTTTGTCCTCTGGCTCTTCCTTTGCGAAGTGTTAGCATTTTTCTTACAGATTTGTAAGAAGTCTTGCTACGCTAAGGTTAGCAACCATCTGTCAAAATTGCAGACATTTTAATCTTCCTAGTTATTTGTTGATTGTATGAGTATGTGTGTTTGTGTGTAAGTTTATAAATTAATTAAATAGCTTTATCCACGTTTTTTAACTTTTATGCTTATTGCATGTGTTCAACATTTTCTCTCACTTGGTGGGGATGCAACTTTAATTCTTTCATCCACCTCCAGGCCTCTTTCTGGGCCATCTGTCATTCTCCATTGTCAGCTGATGTTTGATTAAAGTAGCTTTAAGCCCTCCTCATCACCTTGCCCAGCATCCTTTTATATGAAGTTAAAAATCACTTTGTCTAATTTAAAAAGAAAAATTCCCTCTGGGAATTTATTGAGAAAAAAGACACTTGGGTTTCTGTGTTAAAAAATATGAGTAGAATGATTAGGGATGCATTTTGCAAAATATGACTTTGCACAGTTGTGAAAACAGGGCATCTTGCCAGATACCCTATATACTGGCTGAAGAATCTCAGGGCAGTGAGTTGTAATAAAAAGGGCTATTTTTGCACTCCCAGACTCCTGCAGTGAAAGAACTTGTACTACTTCCAGACCAGATGCATCCTTCTGGTTGATAGATTCTGCCACTTCCTGGAGGCTTGTATGTTTATTCTTAGGCTTCTGTAAATGGAGCAATGCCACTTTAATGGTCCATAAGGGTTCATCTGCCCATTCTTGTCTAGATGGGAACCCCAGGCCTAGACCAGGACACCCAGTGATTTTCTTGCCTGTGTTTTCCAGCCCTGCCTCCCTGGGATTCCAGAGAGATTCTTTGAATTTTGCAAACTATGAAGCATTTTATACCCAACGATAAAGATTTTGATCTCTGAGGGAGCATTTCATTGTATATTTTATGTTTTGGGGTTCCCTGTAAGATTTTGTTTTGTCCATTGCTAAGAGTTCAAAAAGCCGTGACCTACAGACGCTAAGCTCTCTTCTAGTTCTAAAATTACACAGTGCTGGACCTTCTCATGCCGATAGCTCACCCAGGGATCTTTCCCGCAAAAAAGTAGTCACCAGGTATCAAATTCTGTGTTTCTATTCAATAGAGAAGGAAACCAGAACACTTTGGCCCATACGTTTCAGACTTAAATAGACTCAGGAATTGGGCTCGGTGTCTGTCCCCCCCCCCTTTTTTTGTCCACCTTCCTGGTGGCTTGAGGGTATGCACATCCTTGTGTTCAAATGTGGAGTTCCTCACCTTTGTACCACCAGATGTAGTTCACGATTGTGAGCTGTGTTCTTTCTGTCTTAGGCAGGGAATGTGGTGACAGGAGAGATGGTAGAAGAACTTATTCTTTCTGGAGCAGATATCATTAAAGTGGGAGTCGGACCAGGTAAGATACGTTGGGAACACAGCAGAGGGTGTGTGTTGCGTAGACTGGGATATTAGGCTTGGGATGACTGGAGATGGCTGGGAGGAAATGCATGAATGAGTCATCCAAAAGTTGAAAGCACATTTTTTTCTGGAAGGATTATTGAACTTCAAGGGAAGCCCCTGATGAGAAATATCATTGAGCTGCTTTCTGATCCCCCCAGGGACCTTCTAAAGGAGCTTGGATGTGGTTAGAATATGAGGTCCTGGGTTTCAGAACATTAATGTGGAAGAAAAGAATGCAGATTTCATTAATGATCCCATTTGCCTTGAAGAGGAAGGTGAGAGTGAAGAATCCATGAGGACAGTTAATGGGCATGAATGAGTCAAGTTTATGTGAGTGAGGGACCCCAAACACTACAAATGAGCTTGCAGCTATGAGGCTACATTTGAACTTGACCCATGAACCAGTCTGTTAGCCACCTTTGGCTCCTCACCTGCTTCATATCAGTCACAGATGTTGCCCATGTGCTTCTCCCATGCATTCTCTCCTAGGACCACCTGTTAGCATCTTGAGTGGAGAAGGACAGTCTTTCTGTCCTTCTACTGGGTGGCGCCATTATCTCTTGGGGCTAGTTGGTGTTTGCCTTTTCCTTTTTGCTATACTTGAAGATGAGTTGCCATGTTTAAAAATTCATCCGTGCACATACTATTAACCAGACACTAAAATTAGAGAGAAGGAAAGAAGATATGCATTTTCAGTTGGGATTAAAAAAAAGCAAAGATTAAAAAAAAAAATCTCCCACCCAAAAGACACTACCAAAAAAGGAAGCAAATCATAAAACAGTATGAGAGGAATCTGTGAGAAAGAGCACAGCTGGGAGGCAGGAGACGCCATTGCATTGTGACTTGACTGGGTGATCAGCCTGAGGGAATAGAATGTATGAAGAGAATATTAGGAAGAAGCGCCCTTGAAGGTTCATAAAAATACACACGCTTTTAACATACAGGGAAATTTTCAAAATTAAGATTTTCATCTTGCCACTCATGTATGCCAGTTAACAACATAGTCTGAGCAAGAGGAAAGATAACTGGTTTTACTGAGTGTCTGCCATTATTGAAAAGTCAAAGGATAAGTCCCAGTTCTTGCTTCCCAAGTGCTCCCCTCCTAGTGCGGGCTGTGATAGACCTGCCTAGTAATAGAACAGAATAGGGTAGTAGACCAGGAGGACTCCTTTTTTCACCCAAGGTGGGGGCACTCCTTGTCCCTAGGCTTGCTGTAGACCAGGTCGTTTCCCTCCCTCTGTAATCAGAAATGTGTATTGAGTGTCTATTAGCTACCATTGTGCTGGCTGGGTGCTGGGCAGGGTGTGAAAGTGTGTGAGAAGCTTCTTGGCTCTCAAAGAGCTTTTCTTGATGTGATCTGGAGCATTCAGTGGCACTTGTTTCCTCATGCACATCTCTGTGTGTACATTCTGTTTCCTCACAAGATGTCACATGTCCCCCTCTGGCTGTCTGTCTAGAACAGATGTGACTAAAGAGAGTAAGGGTCTTCTCTGAGCCCGATACATAGGAGCTACTTTTTAAAATTGACTGGAGTTCATATTTAAATCTCACAAACTATAGTAAAGACAAATGATGACATTTTTTTGGTTCATGATTGAGCAACCTCTGGGAACTGGGAAAAAACATTAATGGGTTTTCCTCCTTCTAATCAGGACAATATAAGTCCCAATTTTCTTTTCTTTTCTTTTTTTTTATGAGTTGGAGTCTCACTCTGTCGCCCAGACTGGAGTGCAATGGCCGCTCCCGGCCACCGCAGCCTCGACCTGCTGGGCTACGGCAATCCTTCCGCCTCAGCCTTCCGAGTAGCCGGAATTACAGGTGCACGCTACCGTGTGGCTGATTTTTTGATTTATTGTAGAGATGAGGTCTCACTGCCCAGGCGGGTCTCGAACCCGCGGGCTCAGGCAATCCGCTCACCTCGGCCTCCCAGAGGCGCGGGATTACAGGCTGAGCCACTGAACCTGGCTAAATCCCAATTTTCTTTCACCTGGGTGTTAATCAAGACCATGTCCACGCCTTGTGTGAAACTTCTTTGGCTGTTTCCAAGAAAGGCAATCGTCCTAACCTTCATAGGGCCCTCAGCAAGCGCAGAGCTCCAAGCCTATGGTAGCTGAGGCCTCCGCCTTCCCTCTTGGGTCTAGTAATTGAGTGGGAGAGAAGGAGAAATCCCAGTGCTGAGCCAGGGGTTATAAACCTCTTATTCTGCCATGCACAGTGCATATCCGGTCCCTGAGACAGAGGGTGCCTTGGTAGGAATGAGACATATTGCCTCCGGGACTGTGAGTGGCACACAGAGGTATGTTGTGAGAGTGGACCCGGGGCAGGACTTAGGTGGATTCTGCCCCACAGCAGATGAATGCAGGAGAAGGGTGTTGCTCTGTCCCTCCTGGTTTCTCTGCAAAATCCGGGCCTGGGGAGTATGCATATGCTTTTTTGTCTGATCTTTTCCCTAAAGACCTCTAGGAGGAATTCACGGGAAGCTCGTAGCTTCCCACAAGGAGGCAGGCTCAGAGTGTCTCACCTCCAGGTCTGGTGGGCGGGGAAGAGTTCACACCCAGAGCGCCCCCTCATGGGGATATCCGGGAGGGCTTGAATGAGTAGGGAAGCGGTAGAGACAGGGATGTGGGTGACTCATTCATCCTTGAGTCCACACATTCTTTCAGTGACTATTTATAGTGCCTTATTATGTACTAAGCTCTATTCTTAACACCCGAATCACAACAATGCATATCCATGGAGCTTACCACCTGGCAGAGAAAACAGACCCTCAGCATTCTTACAGAAGTCATCATTGAAGTACCTCTTTTTGAAAATCAGCTCTATGAGGAACATCTTCCCTGGGGCAGTGACATTTAAGATGAAGCTGGAAAGATGAGAAAGGGTTGGCTAGACAAGGAGGCCAGTACAGAGGGGAGTGCTCCAAGAGAGAAAACATTGTGTACAAAGAACCCCTATGGTGGGCAGAAACCTGCCCCTTAGGGGACTGAAAAGTCAGCGGTAGGTAGCCGGGAGAGATGAGGTCTGGGGGGGAGCAGGTGAGCTTGACTTGGCTGATCTGGGTAAAGTGGGAGGAGGTGGGCAGGACCAGGGTGGTGTGATGAAGATGCCAGAGTGCGACTCGGCCCAGACTTCACTGGATAACGCAACTGGGACTGGGACTGACAGGGGACTAGGAGGCAGGAGGCCGAGGCAGGAAGGCATTGGGATGCTGGTGTGAGCATTGCATTGGAAGTGGACCTCAGGACTAGGCTGCAGGGAACTCAGCGGAGCTGCGGGGGAGGGGGATGGACACGCGACCGGGCAACAGGTCTCATTCCTAGCAGGGGACGGAGCTGAGCGAGAGCGGGGCAAGGGTATAGGAATGCGATCAGTGCCACTCCTTGTCCCTAGGGCTTGCTGCAGGCTAGGTCGTTTCCCTTCCTGTGCCATTTGCTTTCGGACGTTTTATGTCCATTTCACAGGTGAGGCTGTAAGACTTAGAGAGGTGAGGAGTTGGACAAAGCTTGAAGGGAAAGAAGCTGCAAGGCAGTGGGAGGATCCTGAGAGGTCCCTGAGAGTGTGGATCCTAGGAAAGCAGAAAGTGTGGTGAGGTCAGGGCTCAGCCACCATGTGGGAGTCTGTGCCATGGGAGAGTGGCAGTGATGGGTGCACGGTAGAGGAGAGGGTGATGCGTGGGTGTAAGCTGGTAACAGTGATGAGGACTGGCAGGGATGTGTGGACACATGGTATGATTTACTGTGACCTCCATGGTATTCACGAGCAGCCCCTTTCCTCCTCCCTCAATCTCGTCTCCTCTGCCATGGAAGGTTCGCTGCCAGTCAACAGGCTGGGGCTGCCAGGGTGGTGGGGCTCATATTCTGTCCTGTTCTGCTCATGCACAACCATCTCTCTTTGGGATCCACTTCTTGTTCCAGGTTCCGTGTGTACCACCCGCACCAAGACGGGTGTGGGCTACCCCCAGCTGAGTGCAGTCATCGAGTGCGCTGACTCTGCCCATGGCCTGAAGGGGCACATCATCTCTGTGAGTCACCAAGCAGGGCTGAGGCTGGGGGTGTCTTGGGACCGCGGGGTGGGCGGTGGGCTGCTCCCTCCATGTTGCTGTAGGCAGCAGGACACTGAGGTCTCAGTGGCGGCATTCAGCAGAGATGACGGCCCTATTGCCCAAGTATTCGATGCAGTGAGGTCAGCAGGCCTAGCTGGCGATAACGGTGCGAGGCGATGGGTCGTACGATGTGGGATAAACGGGTCATTTTGAGGACACAGGAAGGACCATATCATAGTCTGACCTTGTAACAGGCCAAACAGGGCTCTTGGAATATAGCCCCACAGGCTGAGTGGCTGCAACAGCAGAAATTCAGTGTCTCACGGTTTCAGAGACTGGAAGTCCAAGATCAAGGTGTCAGCAGGGCCAAGCTCCCTAGGAAGTCCCCAGGGAAGGATCTTTTTCAGGCCTCTCTATGAGCATATGGTAGTGGTAGTTCCTCTGCTTGTGGCAGCCCAACTCCAGTCTGCATATTGCATTCCCATGTGCCTGTCTATGTCCAAATTTCCCCTTTTCGTGAGGATATCTATCAGATGAGGAACCTCTCTCCTCCAGGATGACCTCATCTTAACTAGTCACATCTGCAAGGACCCTATTTCCACATAAAGTCACATTTTGAGATACTATGAGTTAGGATGGTAGCAGGTGAATTTCGAGGGAGGGACATAATTCAACTTATAACAGGCCACATATCTTAGATTCAGGGGTCAGGAAAGGTTTCCTAGAGTAAGTGATAGAGATGTCTGATAGTTGAAAAGGACTTTTCCAGATGAAGGGGAAGAAGGAAATTGAAAAGCATCAGGGTAAGGGAAGCAAGAGAGAATGACACATTGAAGAATCTCAGCTACTGTGTCGGGGGCAGTGAGCTAGGCAGGGGCAGAGTGGGGGGGGAGCAGGAGATAAGCTTCAGGGCACAAGTGGACTAGCACTGTGGGAGCCACATTAAGCATCAGGATTTTCTCCTAAGAGCACTAGGGAGCTACTGAAGAGGTATGAGCGGGAGAGTGCCAAGCAAGTTGATTTGTCTTTCAGAAACGTGGAACTAACTGCCTTGGGAGAATTGGAAAGGGGTGAGATAAGAACGGCCCAGCTGGGAAGGTATTAGTAATTCAGGAAGGAGTTGACAGGGTCGTCCCCTAAGCGGCAGTCGTGGAAAGCCATCTCTCCAGAACTGACTGACATTTGGGAGGCAGAATTAAACAAGATTGTAGCTGCCCCACCTGCCAGCTCAGAGAGAAAACAGCTGTAAAGGAAGAGATTCAGGGTTGGTGTTGAGTTTGAGGGGCATGAGTGGCATTGATGAGGAAATTCATGAGGCACTGGGTTCATGGACTGGAGACCTGGGAGCTACTATAGCCCAGGGACTGTGGGAACCTTGGGAGTGAATGGACCCCGGATATGAGGGTGAGAGTTGCAGTTGGCTTGGGATTGACTTCAGAGGAGCCCGTGAAGGAACCTAGGAGCGTCCTGGGGAGTCCAGGAGGTGAGGGAGGAGTGCTTCAAGCAGGAGGGAGTAGGCAGTGGCGTCTGCTACTGACAGGGCACCGGGAACTGGGGAGAGCAGACTTGGAGGCAGGAGTTAAACTTTTGTGGGTTGAGAAATGTACGGGAAGGAGGGAGCTGAGGAGAGGCAAACCTTGTTCTCACGCCATAGTTTGGAAGCTCCTGGAAGAATGGTGCCACAGTCACCAACCACTATTTCTTTTTTTTTTTTTTTTTCGGAATCAGCATCTCACTGTGTTGCTCAGGATGGAGTGTGGCACCATCCATGGCTCAAGGCAGCCTTGCCCTCCTGGGCTCAGGCAGTCCTTCCACCTCAGCCTGCCATGACTGGGACTACAGGCGTGCACTAATATGCCCAGCTAAGTTTTTGATATTTTGTAGAAGTGAGATCTTGCTGTGTGGCCCAGGCTGGTCTCAAACTCCTGGGATCAAGTGGTCCTTCAACTTCAGCCTCCTAAAGTGCTGGGATGAAGGCGTGAGCCACCATTATTAAGGACTGAATGAAGGAATGAGTGCCAGGTTGAAATCTGTCCCCAGCTTATCCCTATTCTACCCCACCTTTATCCATGTGACCATCACCAACAGTGGCAGTTATCAGGAGATGAGACGCTCAGAACAGGACAGAACACGTAGGATCTGATGGACTGTAATAGAACTATGTCTTCCGCTTACGTGGATGTTTTATTTATATAGATGTCTGTTTTTACAAATTTGAAGTGGTGGCATATTTTTAGTTGTGCTAAAACAATGTTGACTCATATTAAATACATTAAACCTTCAGATCTGTTCACTTGCACAATCGCTAAGCCAGGTTTCCATATTAAATCACCGATAGGTGAGTTTTTGAAAAACCAAATGCAAGAAATGACATCTCCCTGCAGATTGAAACCTTGTTGATTTTGGCTCAGCAGTTCAGCCTGTTGAGGTTTGATTTTTCTGGACCTGCATTTACGAATTATACTCTAAAAATCAGGCCAGGCATGGTGGCTCATGCCTGTAATCTCAGCACTCTGGAAGACTGAGATGGGAGGATTGCTTGAGCTCAGGAGTTCAAGACCAACCAGCCTGGGCAACATAACGTAGTGAGACCTTGTCTCTACCAAAAAAAAATAAATAAAAATTAGCTAGGTGTGGTGGCACATGCCTGTGGTCCCAGGTACTTTGAAGGCTGAGGTGGAAGGATCGCCTAAGCCCAGGAGTTCGAGGCTGTGGTGAACTGTGATCGTGCCACTGTACTCTAGTTTGGGTGCCAGAGTGAGACCCTGGCTCAAAGAAAAACAAAATCCCTTCATGCACATCATCTTATTTGAGCCTTAACTACAGCTGATGTGGCCTTTGCTTCACATCACGTGACGGTCAGATAATAACTGAAGCTAGGATCTACCTAGTCCTTGACTCACCATCCAGTGCAGGTTGTCTGTGTTCCTAATTCTTCATCCAAGTTTTTTACCCACCCATCCGTTCATTCAGCAAGTATTTACTGACCATCTACTATGTGCTAGAAGCTAGAATAAATGATCAAAGGCTTATTGGTTAATGGCAGTTCTAATGCTCTCTACTCAGTACCTTTTCTTTTAGCTTTTGCCCTAGTGAACCAGTTAACACCCATTTATTAGACAACTAGCATGTAAAAGGCTGACATAGAGTGGTCCGTCAACATTTGTGCTAAGGGAGGCTATTTAACTCCCCATAGACACCAAGCACTGGTACCATTGTCCAATATGCCAGTGGTTCTCAAATTGGACTGCAGCCATGTCTGAGGCTAGCTACATGAGAATTACCAGAGATGCTTTAATAAATTGATATTTCTGGACTCCATTCTGGTGAATCAGATTCTTTCAGAGGTTGGCCTCAAAAAGCTCTACATATAATTAACTGTGTCTCCATTACTAATAATGTTAATCAAGCACCTCCATCAAATCAAAATTTGAATTACTTGAATGACCACCATTTTCAAATTAATGGAAGTTAAATTAATAACCTTTTACCATAAACTTATTCTGAGATACCATTATTTATGTCTTTCTAGAAACTTCAGAGTTACTTAGTTTACAGGGTTCTTTGGTCAGAGATTAGGGGTAGGTTGGGGTGGAAGCTCTGCGTGCCCCATAGGTGACTCTGACTGGAAATCAACTTAGGACTTGTTTACACAGCACCACCAAATGTTTTCAGCAGTTCTCTTAAGTGTCATACCCAGAGGAGCAATACCAGTATCAACTGAGACTTGTTACAAGTTCTCGGACTCCATTCCAGACCTGACCTACTGAATCAGAAATGGCAGATGAGGGCCCATTGCCTAACAAGCCTTCCAGGTTGTTCTGAGGTGCTCCCAAGTTTGAGAACCACTGGCTTACAGAGTATGGTTCCGAACCAGGTTTCATCTTTTGGCGCCCAAGGGAGTAACTTCCCTGAATTTTTCAGTTAGGGACAGTGACAGCCCAGGCCCATGGCACTGGTGTTTCTGGAAGGTGGCACTTCCCATCCTACCTGTGTGCTCCGAGGTTCTTATTTTTCCATTAATTGTGAGAGATCTCCTAGATGGGGTTCGGCATTCAGTTTGGAGCCTGATGACCCAATGCGCCGACTTAAGTAAAGGATTCGGACCCTTGACTTCAGCTCATTCCTTCTGAACAGCTGAGCATCTTGGGGTTCAGAGCAGCAAACCATTGCCCCACCACTCTTGTCTAATGGAGCACAAGCAGGTTTCTTCCACTTGCCAATAGTCCTGAACCTGCAGGAAACCCATCAGATGTTTTGGGTTCTGCCACGTTGTCCAGTTTCCTTCCAACTGTCTCGTGTTATAGTTTAGTTGCTACATGGTGTCTGTTCAGCATGTGCATATACCCAGGAGGCTGGACTTGAGTTGTGTTTCTATTTATTGTGACTTCAGAGAGGCAGAGAGCGGAAAAATGTAGGGCACCCCTTGCATAGGCAATCAAGCTGTGACCAACTAGCTTTTTCTTGTCACACCTACCATTATTTAGAAAGACCTAAACAAATTCATTCAAATAATTTAATCTTTTTTGTGTGTGTGGCTTGAAAATTTTCCTGACAAAATATGTGTTTAACCTAGAAGTTAGAAATGCAAATAAAGATAGAAAAGAAAATAAATATTACTAGAAATGCTGTCATCATTACCACTGATTCTAATCTTGTTCTTTCATTTTTTTATAGCTTTACAGTCACTCAACTTTTCTGAGCCTCGTTTTCTCCCCACCTATAAAATATCAACTTCAAGTTCTTGTATTTGGATGGGAAAATGACTTTATTTATTTGTTTATTTTTTGTTTATGTATTTATAGCCAGGGTCTCAAACTCTGTTGCCCAGGCTGGAGTGCAGTGGTACCATCACAGCTCACTGCAGCCTCTACCTCTTAGGCTTAGGCATTCTTTCCACCTCAGCCTTCTGAGTAGCTGAGACTAGAGGTGTGTGTCACCATGCCCAGCTAATATTTTGGTTTTTTTCCCTAGAGACAGGGTCTCGCTATGTTGCCCAGGCTGGTGTTGAACTCCTGGGCTCTAGTAATTCTCCGGCCTCGTCCTCCCAAAGTGCTGGGATTACAGACATGAACTACCATGCCTGGCAAAAAATGACTTTTAAGTTTATAATAGTTCCTGGTCATAGTGGACACTTGATTGAACTCTTTTCTTTGTCTGTTTCGTGTTTGTTTGCTGTCACCAACCTTTGTTTTAAACATGAGCAAGTATTTCTAAGCAAAAGTAGCATGCTGACAATTCACAAATTAAATCACTACTCATGGCATACAAGGCCTTTTGTACTTAAATATACTGTTAGCTCCTTTGGCGAAACAAAAGAGGGAACCCTTGTCAATTACTGCTTTGAATAGATATTCAAAGGGCAAAATGCTAGCCAGATTGTTGTTGTTTTTTAAAATAGCCTTCCAGCAGCTGTGAATATTTACGTACAAAGGTACACGTGTGTCTTAGATGACCGGAGCTTGCTGTTACTACTCTGCCTCCTGAGAACACACGAGGACTCTTTGAACACATTGGGAAATATAAACAGTAGCAGGGAGCAGATGACCTTGTCTTAAGGCATCGGGTAAAGTTGGATTGCTCATGGTGAAATGTGCAGTCCAGCTTGTTCGGTCTACTTTGTCCATTTCATAAATGCATACACAAGCACACTATGACAGCAGATGATGCTGTAAATACGGTTTTCTCTTTGCAGCACATCACAAGATTATGGACATGTGGGTTCATCCGGGAAGAGAAGGGCCGATTTTCTTGAGGTCCCAGGAGCACAGAGCTTCTAAGGCAGGGCTTATCACTGACCTCTGTCATGTGGCATTTTCAGGAGACACAAGAAAGTGAACAAAACCTTTTTTTTAGAAAAAAGTCATATATGTGTGGGGCTTATTTTAATGGGAGCATGAGCTTATTTAACTTATTTGAAACGGTAAGTTTAAAATCCTATAGTTTAAAGCTGGTTTTGATGAAGAGATAAAAACACTTTAAAATTAGTTGACAGGACAAGTGAAGTAGGGAAAGTAAATAAATATGTTGAAATATTAGAGCACTAGGAGGTGTAGAGAGCACCCAGCCCTGTTACTGTCTTCACATGGAGGGTTTGAGCCAGAGACATTCTGAGGAGAGACTGCCTCTGAAATAATCATTTCCCAGTGCCCTGTGGCCCTCCAGGAGTCAGAGAAACCTTATATGAGTAACACTCTTGATTGAGAAAATAATTGTGGTCAGTAAATGTTTGTAAGGGAAAGAAAATGGAGCCTTCACTCCCCTCCAGTGATCAGAACTGCTGAGAAGTAAATGAAGCAGTATTTGAGTTCTGGTTCTGGGAGTGACATGCTTAATAAGCAGATAGAGAAAGAGACTGAGTCAGAGTCTTGGTGTTCTCAGTTTGAGATGTTCTTTGCCAAGCGGCTCATGTCAGTTCCACATAGATGCCCTCTGACACCAGAGGCTTGTGTACCTTCCTGCAGATTGTCACACGAGGTAGCCTCGGTAGACTCTGTTTTCTCTCTTCCTTCCCAAATCATGCCTGGCCCCTCCACAGGTGGGTCCCACCTTCTGGGGACAGATGCATTCCTCTGAGGTCTTGATATCTCTACTAGACACACACTGGACTTAGGGATCCATCATCGTCATATGAGTCCTGATGCTGCTGCTGTCTCCCCAGGCACCGTGGCTTTCATGGCTGTCCTTGTGTGTCTGGCTGTTATTTCAGGGCACCTCCTGGTGCTGTCCTTTTCCTCCTCGAACTCTACCCAGGCTACATTGGGAATAGGGAGCAGCCTGGGCATTTGTATGTCTTGTGTTTGTAAGGAAACGCAACGAGCTCTGCATCCTAGACACCGTGTACTGTGTGGCTGGTGTTTAAACATCACGCCCACAGCTGAACCTTGCTGGGCAGCCCAAAATAACAGACCAATCTGCTACACAATGAACCAGCCCAAGTGTGTGCTCTGTGTGGGCAGTGTGGGAGTTGGAACGGATGTTGGGTTTTAAGGTAGCTGCGTACCATAGAGCAGGAGACACACGGGCAGCTGGAAAGATAAAGGAACTCATTCAGTGTCCTTTTCTTGGCTTTTGAAAGAATTCAGCCCCTGTACTAAATAAATCTCACCTCACACCAGGCAGAGAGGGACAGGTGACTCCTGGGTGAGAATGAGCGTGGACAGCGGAATGGCTATGTATGTTATATAAGGGACTGGCAGAGGACGAGGACCAAACCCCCAGCTCATGGAGTACCTGAGCCTGGGGTTGCTGGTGGGCGGAGGGTGGTGCCAGCCTCTGACTCACAGAAGAAACCTGGATGGAGCCTGGGGAGTGGAAGAATATCATGGAAGGGAGCAAAGTAGGTTAGAGGCGGCAGCCATGGGGTGGGGGCAGTTGGGCCCCCGAGTGCTTGGCTGGTGGCTGTGGTGGATCTGAATTCCCAGTTACCAGGTCATTCTTGGGCGGGGGGGAGGGGACAGCCTGGCCGAGCTCCCGCTGATGTCCTCCTCTCCTTGCTTTTTCCTCTTTGAAGGATGGAGGCTGCACATGTCCAGGAGATGTCGCCAAAGCCTTTGGTAAGGCTGGGCCCTCGTGCAGTGGGAGGGAAGGCGAGAGAGAGGGTGCTCCCTGCAGCTCTCAGGGTGAATGAGGAGGGAGGCTCTTGTCGGGGAAGTTCTGGGCCCGCCTGGGGTTTCCTCTCCCTGGGTTTCAGCCCTAATTAGCTGAAATCCTGGCATCAGTTTGGTTCTGGTCTGTGGCAGAGCAGGCCAAGTGCACAGAAGATGGTCCTAGGGGTGATGTCCTGTGAGCCAGGAGTGGGTGAAGTCATGTTCTTTTCAACCCAGGGAAGAGAGGGCTTGGGAGGCCCGTCCAGGGGGTCGATGTCAGGTCTGACGTGTAATAACTGCAGATGGTCTTTTGGATTTGGCCGGGAGAAATCCCACGGAAGGGACAGGAGGAATCCCAGCTAGTTTTTCACAGGAGCTTTAGGAGCCTGCTTCCCACTAGGGGGCAGCAGTGCCCGCTGGGAGCCCATGGGATCTTGGTGGGGAGGGCTACCTGGAGGGGGTGGGAGGCAGTGAGGTGTCCTGGGCTTTTCCTAGGAGAGCACTAGGCAGCCTCACATCTCAACTTAACAGGCAGTCAAATAGGCCTCCCAAGCCATGTGCTGGCCACTTAACTACAAACTGTGTTCGGAAGTCCAAGCGGGCTGCATGGCTGTGAGCTCCAAACTGAAGGGGGAGCCTTGGGTACTGGCAGGAAGTAAAAACAAAGCCCCCGCATCCCCACCCTTTTCTGATGCCAGCAAAAAAAAAAAAAAAAAAATTTTTTTTTGGCAGCAGGAAACTTTCTGTCTTAGGAATTATGATTAAACAAAAAATTGTTTTAAAGAAAACTCGGATGATTACAAAGGAAAACATGGGGCCATGTTCTTAGCAGGACTTCATAGGGACCCAAAGAATGTCATCAAGTGAGACTTAATCCCATCCTAAGCATAGACCTTGGCTGTGGAGGGGAATCTATAGCTCTTCTGTCTATCCCTGCTTGTCCATTTTGTATTCAAGGAGGCCGAGGCTCCAGGAGAGAGTGACAAGGTCACGGTCCCACGATGTAGGACAGGGTAGAGAGAATGCAGGACCTCTGTTAGTCAGTGCTCTCACTTACCCCCCTTATTATGAGGACCATTGACCAGGGACATTTTTACTATTGATTTTTGAGCTGGATCGACTTAATAGGTGCCATTACATCTTGGGCTCCTTCTGATGCCTCACATGTGCTCTCTGCACAGAGTGAGAGCTGAGTGTACTTTAAAATGACTAGTCATTAGGGCCAGGCATGGTGGCTCACGGCTGTAATCCCAAACTTTGGGAGACCAAGACAGGAGGATCGCTTGAGCTCAGGTGTTCAAGCCAGCCTGGGTAACATAGCAAAACCCCATCTCTACAAAAAGTGAAAATTAGCTGAAGGTGGTGGTACATCTGTAGTCCCAGTTACTCGGGAGGCTGAGATAAGAGGATCACTTGAGCACAAGAGTTTGAGACTGCAGTGAGCTGTGGCCACACAACTGCACACTAGCCTGATCCTTAAGAAGGTCTCCTGTAGATAACAGTTCTGGCCTTTGGACTCAGCTCAGTTTCCCCTGGGCACTGTTCCTTCCTCCACTCTTCTCTTCGAGAGGGACCTTGTCAGGGAAAATGTGTTTAGGAGAAGACACAAGAGTGTTCTGAAATGAAAATAATTGGGAACATGTCAGAGTCTCCTTTAGGTGGGCCTGTGCTCTGCATCCCTGCTGTTGACGTCTCCTCCGCAGCTGCTGCATAGGCGCTCTGCTCCCGGGGTTGTGATCCTCGGGAGTCCTTGCTGGATACCTCTTATCCTCTGTCCCCTTAAAGTCACGGCAGGAGGACCAACGAGCCAGCATTTGTGTTAGAACCCCCAGAAGGGAGGGTCTGCAGATTTCACTGCCATGGAGGAAGGCCCTATTATGCCTCACCTGCCCAGGTACCAGGTTCATACCAAGCTAGAGGTCAAATCTCAGAACTTCACTGGCATGGATAGGTGGCAGGGGTTGGATGTGGAGGGTATTCTACCAGAGCTCTGTACTTCAGTAAGGTTCTGGTGGATGGACTTCAATTCTCATTCTCCTCAGTCTTTTTCTCTGTTGAGGGGAAACCTCAAGGGGCCAGCCCTGAGAGCACATCTTTTTGTCATGCTGACATAAGCCCGAGTCTTCTGTAAATGCTCAGATGACCGGATGGAAGGCATCAGAGCCACTTTTCTGGGGTTCCTATGTTTTCTTCTCCTCTAGGGTTTGTCCAGCTCCCCTCCTGCTTCATCCTCATTACTTAATGCTTCTGCACCTGCTCTTGTCTTATTCTGTTCTAAGCACAAAACCTCCATAGGACTTAGGGGGAGTAGTTGTAGTAGTTTCGTATTTACTACTCAATGAGGGGGCCCCCTGTACAGCTATCCACAAACAAGGTGGGAAATGGTGACTGTTTTTATTGTTTCTTCCGCGTATCCCTTCTATTTTCTTGGCACTAGTTCTTCTGCTTCTACCCTATGCCATGCCCTGGGATAAACAGAGCCAGCCCAGGTCCTATCCAGCACAGCCTTGAAAGGCAACTTCAGTGCCCAGAGTATCCTTTAGGTGGGCCTGTGCCCTGCATTCCTGCTGTTGGCGTCTCCTCTGCAGCTACTCTGTACCTCTCTGGAAATTTCATTATCATTCTGTGATTAGCATGGCAGATCGTTTACTCCAGAAATCTGATATTCACCATAGTGGTCATGCAGCTTGAGTTTTGCATGACTTATATGATATAGGCACTTCTTTCCTCTATGGCCAGCCTCTGGTATAGGAGGTTCAACCTGTTCTGAGGCTTTTCATGACCTATAAGCACGGAGAGTCAGAGTTCTGAGACTTTAGAGACCAGATGCCTACATTATAGTAGAGTCCTTGTGTTAGAAGTCATTAAGTCCAAGATCGAGACAGCATGCTTTTTGAGTCTGAGTCTCACTCTGTCACCCAGGCTGGAGTGCAGTGGCACGATCACGGTTACTGCAGCCTCGACCTGCTGGGCTCAGGTGATCCTCCTACCTCAGCCTTCTAAGTAGCTGGAACTCCAGGTGTATGCCACCACACCTGGCTAATTTTTTCATTTATTGTAGAGATGAGGTATCACCATGTTGCCCAGGCTGGTCTCAAACTCCCAGGCTCAGGCAGTCCTCTTGCCTCACCCTCCCAAAGTGCTGGGATTACAGGCATGAGCTACTATGCCTCGCCAAGAATATGATTCCATTTTTTTGAGTCGATGCCTGGCTGCCCAATTCTTACTGTTTCTCTGGTTCTAAATTAGACCTCTGTTTGGAAGGTGTGGTCATAGTCAAGAACTCTTAATCTTAAGTGTGGTCCAGTATATTGGCTGCCAGCTTCAGTAGGCCGCGTCTGTTTCTCCCAGTGTCCCATGCAGAGGGGCCTTCTTTTTGCCACCTGGAGAGAGGTGGAACCTTTTTCTTGACTGTAGCTGGGGGAGGAAAGGGGAGTTGGGAAGCACTCGGATCTTTCCAGAGCCCATTTTCCCTGAACTCTTGGCTGATTCCTTTTGTCTCCACCATGGGCATTCAGGAGCTGGAGCAGATTTCGTCATGCTGGGAGGGATGTTTTCGGGCCATACCGAGTGTGCTGGAGAAGTGATCGAGAGGAACGGGCAAAAGCTAAAGCTTTTCTATGGCATGAGCTCCGACACGGCCATGAAGAAGCACGCGGGAGGAGTCGCTGAGTACAGGTGAGGAACTGGCCTGTGCAGCACACTGGCAATGCCTCGCGTTTCTCTTGCTTCTTGGGGAGATGGGGTGAAAGCGGGTCTTAGTATCAGTTCTGTGTATATTCAAGTACTGTGGGAAGGGGATCTTGGTAGCGTTTTTATCCAGCTAGCATTTTAGCATTTGCAGTGTTTGGGGGCCCTGCGGGTACTGAGACTTGTGGGCTGGGTAGGATTACTGCCTGTTCTGATAAAGCCTTAGCTGAGCTATCCCTGGAACCTTTAGTCTCTGGCCTGGGATGAGATCAGCCTGCAAGAATTGGATTGAAGAGTGGATTTTCCATTGCATACAAAGGCTTAGGTATGGTCTAGACCACTGCACAGTGGCCAGGCCCTTACTGAAGAATGCCATATTTCACCCGCAGTGGCTCCTACAGTTTTCTCACCTGCCTCCAGGTGCTGATGGTTGACACAGGCAGCATTTTCAGCCACTGAATTGTGTCACCTACTGCAGAAGTCATGCTCACTTCTGCAAGTATATGTGTGGTTTTAATCCACGATCTTCAAAGATACCCTGGCCTTTTCTGTTTCTTGTCCATTTTAACTGTCTGCATGTGTGCTTTAAGAACCTGATGATGACTGGGCTTGGTGGCTCAGCCTGTAATCCTAGCACTTTGGGAGGCCAGGCAAGTGGATTGCCTGAGGCCGGGGGTTCGAGACTAGCCTGGGCCAACTTGGCGAGACCTCATCTCTACAATAAATCAAAAATTAAACCGGGTGTGGTAGCACACACCTGTAGTTCCAGCTACTTGGAAGGTTGAGGTGGAAGGATCGCCGGAGTCCAGCTGGTTGATGCTGGGGTGGCCGTGAGTGTGCTACTGCACTCCAACCTGGGTGACAGAGACTCCAACTCAAAAAAAAAACCAACAAAAAAACCCTGATGATGGGAGTGGGCATGGTGGGTTAAACCTGTAATTTCAGCACTTTGAGAGACCAAAGCAGGAAGATTGCTTAAGTCTAGGAGTTCGAGACCAGGCTGAGTAACAAAGCAAGACCCTGACTCTAAAAACAAAAATAAAAAAATTAGCTAGGCACAGTGGCGTGTGCCCGTAGTCCCAGCTACTTGGAAGGCTGGGGCAAGAGGATCACTTGAGCCCAGGAGTTGGAGGCTGCAGTGAGACTTGACGGTTCCACTGCTTTGCAGCCCGGGTGACAGAGTGAGACCCTGTCCCTTAAAAAAATGAAAAAGAGAACCTGATGACAGCATAGATTCACCAACTCGCCCTGCTCTATAGAGCCTGCTCTCGTTTCTCATTAGAGTGGCACCGATGGATGGCAGGCTACACAAAGTGGACAGGATGGAAAGTCTGGCATCCTCAGAAGAAAGTCAGCTGTGAATCGGTTGAGTCCCTTTCCCCAGGAAGCCTCAGGCTTTTCCCTTCGGCTTTCAGACTCCATCCCAGAGCTCTATTTTCTACTACTCATTCCACACTCAGGAACTCATTTTGAGGACATGGGGTTCAGATGCATTATATAAGGTTCCTACCAGGCTAGAAGTTAAGTCTCAGAACTCCTCGGAGGTGGCAGGGAGTGGAGATAGGGTGCTCTACCAGAGTTGTGTTCTTCAGTAGGGGTCTGGTGGATTGACGTCAAGTCTTATTCTCCCCAGTCTTTTCTCTTTTGCGGGGAAACCTCAATAAAGAAGATTTATGGTATGGGGAAGGCAGTGTGAGGAAGAAGGATGGGACTTCTCTAGCTGGAAGCAAGGTACACCCTTCTTCCAGGTAGCCCCGAGGCCCCCTTCCCCCCATGTGGTCACTGATGGAGGACGTTGCACAGGTGGCCAGGAGGAGGGAATTCCTACCTCCTCACTCACCTGGACCCATGGCCTGGACCCATGGCTGAGTGCCTTACCAGCAGCTGTGGTCACCATCCAAGGGCCTGCATGTGTCCCGTCTGTGCCAGGTTGTACGTGGGGCCATCGTGGGTGAATGATGGCTAGGTTGCTAGCCTGGAGTCATTTTTTGCCCTGTAGCTGTTGTGTCTGTTTTGGATTCTAAGAAAAATTGGACATCGGGAAGGCCAGACCTACAGAAGCCAAGGAGCTGAAAGAAAAATCATCTCTTGTAATTTCAGCAGGGTTTAGATAGAACCGAAAAAGATTCAGCACTATCAAAACTGGGTTCTGGAGGTAGATTCAAATCTTAGACAAAGAAGAAAAGTGCTAAAGGAATCAGAACTGTAATTCAAAGACTGCCTGAGCCCTGCAGGCTTTATCTGGCCTGCTTCTGTGTCTTTGCCTCTGAGTCAGTCAGTCTCTCTCTCTCTCTCTCTCTCTCTCTCTCTCTCTCTCTCTCTCTCTCTCTGGCAAGTTGCAGCTTCATGGCCATGATCTGGCCACGAGAACGATTCCCTCTTTTGACATTATATTTAATTATGGCATAGCTATTTATGCCTTGCCAGTTCCTTCCCAATCATTAACTATTTTGTTCTCATGCTGTCCCTGGGAGACAGATCAAAAAGCACCTTCATTTTACAGATGAGCAGACTGAAGCGTAATCAAAAAACTAACTTGCAAAAGGTGATATCACCAGTTAGCAAAGAAGCAACGATGAGAATCTGGGTAATTTCTCACAGGCCCTGGGAAAGCCGCAAAAATTTCTTATGAAAATGAAATGCCAGTTATTGCAGGCACATGGTCACAGAGTGCCAAGTCCTCAACCATTCTAGGTATGGCTGGTGACACTGACTTCCTGAGCTTGGGGCGCTAAACCAACCATTAGGCCCGTCCTGTATGCTGGTGGTTTAAGCAGCTAGATTTTACCCAAGGGTAGTGCGGCATGTTCAGTGAGCAAGCATTAACACTCTTCTGAAATTTCAGGTAATGAATAATCAAGAGATGCTTCTTCCAGTTGAAGACAACAGCCATGGAAAGTTCCAGAATGTGGATACTTGTTAGAATTTGCCTAGCCCTTAGATGAAAACTAGAGTTTTGCATGGATTTTGGATTTCCTTCTTGTAATATGGTCTGGTCTGTACCTCTAGCTTGCATTAAGGGTACCTGGCATGTGGAATCAAGCAGTGTTACCTGGTGGTCTTGTGAAGAGAGGGACGAGGGCTCAGCAGGGACTGTTGGATGTTGCTTCGCGTTCACACTGTATAGCAGACCTTTTGAATTTTTAAATGCTCCTCCGAAATAGTGAAAGATGCTCTCGAAAGCCCTGAAGTCTCCGGGCTAAGACAGTTCTTGGTTCTACTGGGGTTCTGTCTTGGATCCCCCATCATGCCTGGGTGAAGGTGTAGTGACTTGTGAGAGGATGGGGAACCTGGGGGCCACGACAGACAAAGGGCACCCCAGAAAGCCGGGCTGGCTATCAGGCTGCATCTTGATGGTTTCCACGTAACTTGGTAGGGCCTGCGTTGCCCGTTTTACAGCCTCCTCTTCCTGGTTGTCCTCTTGGAAGACGTTCAGTTTCTGATACAGAGCATGCATGTGGGAGGAGAAAACTCTGGGCTTTTTCTGTTGTTGGTCCAGGAGGGCAAGCAGAGGTGGCAGCAAGAGGTTGTTCCCAGAAGTAATCTGCTGAGTCTTTTCTTTCCTAGGGGGAGGTTTCGGGCTCTTGGTCATTTTGGAGGCTGGTGTACATACTGAGGTGGAATGGAAAGGTGGCACTGGTTCCTGTTAGGGCAGAATGGAGGCATGTTGCAGGAGAGAACATCATTGTGCTGGATGGTATGGGTTGACTCAAGTGTTGCTGACTGAGACTTTTCTTTCCCCGGTGTGCAGGGCATCCAGCAGTGAGGCTGTGCCCTTTGGATAGAGGAATGTGTACATCTGAGATGCCAGCACAATCAGCTTGCTACTTGGTAGAAATATGGGAGTGGGGTCTAGCTATCTGAGTGCCTCGGGGGCTGTGGAAAGTTCTAGACCTGGGAATAAGTCTAGCGGTGTTCTTAGAAACTAGATACAGAGAAAACTTGTTATTTTCCTTGCAGAGCCTCTGAAGGTAAGACTGTGGAAGTGCCTTACAAAGGGGACGTAGAGAACACGATCCTGGATATTCTCGGGGGACTGAGGTCTACCTGCACCTACGTGGGGGCCGCCAAACTCAAAGAGCTCAGCCGGAGGGCGACGTTCATCCGGGTCACCCAGCAACACAACCCCGTGTTCAGCTAACTCCGAGGGCAAAGACTGGCTGAGTGGACGCTTCACACACGCCTACTTCTCCTGTCTCCCTCCTCCTAATCTGTCATGTCGGAGCTCCCAGCTGCTCCAGAATGGTGGAATGCTGCATCCTTTCTCCTCCCTCTACCGCCTGGAGGCTTTGGGGTTCTCCCTAGTGCCTTTTGGGAGCCCAGAAGCAGGGCACTGATTGGGCCAGCGGTCAGAGCCCCGCTGCCCAGAACTCATAACTTCATCGTTAAAACCAACACTTGACCTTTTTGTTTCTTCCTGTCTCCCACCCGCTCTTCCTCCTTTTTTTTTTTTTTTTTTTTTTTTCTTAAAAGAAAATGGTTTCACTTTAATATAATTGCTAATATAATGCTTAAGACTTGACTGAGTGCTGGAATTTGCCTTTGCGGGAGCCAAATTGTAGAGGGTTCTTAGGGATTGTTTTTCTTTTGCCTCCTTCCCAGACAGGGGGTGGCAAACCTTACTCTTGGTTAGTAACAGACAAGTCACCTTAGGAAGGGATGGGGTGGGGGGGTAGCCAAGTGGGAGTAGCTGGCATCCCCTACCTCTAGTCTTTGTTTGCTGGAAAAGGACAAAAACAATCACCTGGACAGACAAATATGAACTGTTTTCCCAGCTGATACTCACAAGGTCGTGGTGATGGGTTTCCCCCAAAACTTATCACACATGCTTTTGAAAAACAAGTTATTTCTTGCTCCCAGCTTGCTGCTGCTTCTAGGAAGCTGTCCTTGTCCTGGTTTTTCATATCACTTATTTTCCTCCATTTTTTTTCCTTCTTCTTCTTTTCTTAGTCCCAACTTGTCAGGTTGGCTTCTCTTAAACAAGTTATTAATTATTTTGAAATTCCACGAGATCTTTTATTGGAAGGTTCTCTACCAAGAAATTAGCAGGTGGAGACCCACTGAAGGACAGCAAAAGCTTTGACCTGGATTAAAAGGCACTGGTTTAAAATAGGAGTTAGAACCGTTCCCTCATTGTGGCGATTAATATTTTCCCAGAAGGACCACAGGGTACTAGGATGAGGGTCAGTTAATGGGCTGGTAGCAATGGCCATTGCCTTGGAGAAATGGCCTTTGCATCTACCTTGCAGCAAATCCTCCAGGACACTTACTTAAACAATGAACACAGAAGGATGATTGGCCATTTGTTAAGAAGTGTTCTTTGAGTACCAGGACTGGAAAGCTTATGCAGATCAGGATGCTTTACTTTACCTTTTTGAGAAGTGGGTACAGGAGTCAGTTTTCTTTGAAAAGGCAAGTGATAACCCTGGGGCAGAAAAGGGCCAGGGGTGCTACTGTGCCAGCGTGAATGAGTGGCCTGATTGTCCACAGTGACTGAGGGCATGAGAAGGGTCCAACCAAACCATCATACTCTGGAAGATACAGGCCCACTGTTAGTCTTTAAAACTGCGTTCAGTGATCCAGCAGCTTTAACAGTGATGCAGTGCTTTCCTTCCTGAATTCATCAGGATTAATTCTTGCACCTGTAGAAACATAATGGCTGCACTTGGGAGGTGGGAGAGTCAAGAGGCTGCTCAGTGAGTGGATTCCAGCAAGATGTGGGGCTTTGCTACCACCAACTCCCTGCATAGTTCTTGGTGGGCTTGTCTGTGTGAGGCATGAGCCTCTTACTCTGGTCCTGTGGATGACATGTTTTACACTTAAGTCCTTAAGTGTGATGGTTTTGAAGAGATGCTTTATTGCAAAATAAAGGAGAGAAGTGAAGGAGGAGAAATCTTTAATAAATCTATTAAAGATGGACCAGCAGTAGTAAAGGAACTTCTTTCAGGACTGTGTCCTTTTCAATATTGGGATCACCTGTGTTCTCTTCCTCCGATCAGGCACCTGTTCTATGCCAAGTGGTCAAGAAGGGTGACACCTGCCTACGCACGGTGGCGCCCTCAGGAATGTGCTCCCCACAGGAATGTGTGCTTGCTTTACCCATATTGTGTAAAGATTTTACAGACTGCTCTGTTGCCACAAACCAAAGGCAGGTCTCCTGCAATCCAGTTTTTAGGATTTTTGCAAAGTCATTAACTCATCAGAACCATTTTGAAGCAGAGGCTTCATAAAAATAAGAACTTTCTAAGGCTCCATTACCTCTTGCCTCAGCAAGTTCATCTCTGCCTCCCGTAGGAATGGACCTGGGGGACACTGAAGTGCCCCTCAAAACAGGTGACCTACAGGACCCTGAGATGAAACACACAGCTTTGCTGCTGATCCACTGAGCTGTGGAGTGGGAGGGGAAGGAGAACCAGTGAACTAGATACCATTCACTGCTCCGTCTGTGGGCTTTGGCGATGTTTTATGCTTTCAAGTCTTGCCCCCATTGCAACGCATGAAGCTATGGTTTTTCCCTAATCAATTCTGCCAGTTGAGAAGCATCAGCCATCAGACCCCAAGCTTGTCAGAGCAATTAGTGTCTCATGAAAACAATAAGGGGAAGTCAGAGATGGCTTCACTCAACTTGCCCAGAACATGCTGGCACATTTTCCGGGCTACTTGGGAGGAGGATGAGGCAGCCCTTCTAGTCTTGGATGTAAGGCTTACAAGTCAGCATGGTTCAGTGTGCATTCTTTTACATACTTATACAATGTGTCTTCAGTACATCAACTCTTGAGTCACAAGAGCAATCTGGTTGGATGGCCCTGGAACACTAACTAAGAAGACAGAGTTCCTATTCCTCCTTAGGCTAATGAGAACTGAATTTAACCCCAAGATTTCTCCCACCTACGTGTAACCTCCAGGCTGGAAGGACTTGAGATGGGTGTGGGGGGATTCACCAGAATCATGGGTCCATCAGGAGTTACTTTCTGGGGCAAGAACTGCTAAGCCTCTTCTTCCCAAGACCGGACCCAGTGAAAACCTGTGGTGCAGTACAACACGGGGCCCTGCCTCTTGCCAGGAGACCCTTGCTCATTGAGTTTGTAACAAGCGTGACTACAGGAAGTGGACTTTCTACCTTCAGACCACAAACCAGTTCATAGAAAAACTGTGGAGAAGGTGTTGGACCAGGCTTTGTGGCTCAGCCTGTCATCCCAGCACTTTGGGAGGCCAAGGCGGATGGATTGCCTGAGCCCATGGGTTTGAGACCAGCCCAGGCAACTTGGCGAGACCTCGTCTCTACAATAAACAAAAAGTTAGCTGGGCATAGTAGCACGTTCCTGTAGTTCCGGCTACTTGGAAGGCTGAGGCAGAAGGATTACCGGCGCCCAGCAGGTCGACGCTGGGTTGGCTGTGAGTGTGCCACTGCACTCCAGCCTGGGCGACAGAGTAAGACTCCAACTCAAAAAAAAAAAAAAAAAACTTAAGAAAAAAAAAGGTGCTGCTGGCACGAGCCCATGAGGCTGTCAGATGTTTAAAAACAAATACTTCTTGTAAACTGCAGTGATCAGTTAGCAGACATAAACATGAACTAAAGCAACCAAGATGTCCAATGTGGGCATGGCCCTTTTGTCCGAAAACCTCATCTCAAGCATGTCCCCTCCAAAAAAATTAGGGAAAGCAATGTCTCATATCCCTCCCCACCACCCCTGACCTACCCAGGAGACCTCTTGAGATCACAGCAGGGCTAAGTGGAGGAATTAGCACCATTTTCTCTGCCTAGACTTTCCCTGAGGATCTGATAGAAGACAAAGACACATTTGCAATTGGCACTGTTATTTTATTAGTACGAGTATACTGAAACAATAAACTTGTACTGGTATACAGACAATTTATTTAAAACAATTTTGTTCAAATTTTGAATCAAACATTGTTTTATTATAATAATGAAATAATTTCTACCTAGAAAACCTGCAAGCACCATCAAAGAAAGGGACCATAAAATTCAATAAACAGACTCGAGTGTATCCTACAAATAGACACACCACGATTAGAAAATAGAATATGAATTCTTCCATTTTTTAATATTTGTTTTAAAAAAGCTAGTGCAAGTACAATATTTTACACTGGAATTACAGAGAGTATGCACGCATATGGAAAAAAGTTCTCCTGTCACAATAAAAGCTCTTAACTATGTATGCACTTAAAATTTTCTTTTCAATAAGGTGCAAAACATCATTCCTTCCCTAGTTCTCCTCTGTACTGGCCATGTCAGTCTGGTAGTGCCCTCAACCCAAGTTCTGGTGTCTATTTTTCCTTGGCCTGTAGGAGGCATACAATTGGAAGTTTGGTGGGTAATAATCCGATATTAAAACATCCAATGGTACGAATCTCAGAGATGGCTCTGGGGCCGGGACCCCACTGGCTAGAAATGACTCCGCCTACTCCGAAGGCCACCACAAATACTGACAGGACTATATTGAAACCGCCTTTCAGGTTGACACTAATTTGGGTTTACAGTTGAGCAGTGCAGGCTGGGAAGGAAGAAACCCGGCCAAAAAGGGCAGTATTCACAGAACCGAATGCACAGGCACCAAGTTTAAGTTTCATTGACGATAATTTGCCCCACTCCTGGACCAGATAATAACTTAAAGAGTAGGTAATTCACCTAAGAACCAGAGGACACCTATGCATCTGGCTTCTTGGTAACTGCTCCTTGAAGACAACAGCTCTAAGCTAGTGTCACCTCAGACTTGGTATTCCGGAGGACACGTTATCTCGGTAAGGATTACTGTAAACAACGCTTCCAACAAAGGCCTTCAGATTGGCCATGGAAAAGGAGACAGGCTCATTGGCCATCCAGACAGCAAACAGACAAACTAAAGGGAAAGAAAACGTGGGTGAAGCCTCCAATTTTTATCTGCAGTGGAAGACTTGAGTCCTTTCAGATAAGAGAAGTTATGGAAATTCTTAGAGACTGTTACTGTATAGATACTACCTATTGGCCAAATGCACTTAATTTTAATACAGTTGAACCATTTGTATGCAAGTCATGGGGACGTGAAAAACTGAAGCCTCTGTTCCCTCCCGCCATTATACAGGTGAATGTTAGCTACCAGAACAATTGCATTTCACTAGAAGGGAGGGGATTAGATTCTGAATTTAAGAACTGTAGCTGGGGATGCCTAATATCCCCACAGCTGTCCACTTTCTGCTGTCCGGCTTATTTTTGGACAGAAATACTATTCTGAGAAGCTGCTCCACATTTATTTTGGCCTCTTTATATTAAAGAAAAATAAAAATAAAAAACTAAAGTGAAAGGAGGCATTTCAATTGAAATCATGTTTTACCCCCCCCCATTTAAATGAGGTGTGGGGGGAAAGGAAGCTGAACAAATTTTTGTCCCCGTAATGAGTCCTGTTTTATTGGTAGCTAGGATCCCTTGTTACAAACACTTCGTGTTCAGGATTATATTCTTTGGGTTTATAGGAACAGGAAGTGCTGAAAATGTCAAACATCTCTGAAGAAAAAGAAGTTACAATGGCTTAAGAGTTAGACTAAAAAGGGAGCTCAGAGAAGTACTTTTAGCATAGGAATGAACAGTATTCTCAAATAGCAGAATACAAAGTTCCCCTCCCTCAGACGAGGGTTATGTGTAACAACAACTATAAGCATAGGTATAGTTTAAGAGCCTTTTACGTAGTAATTCTTCCAGGCCATAACCATACAAATCTGATCATTTAGACATGACAAATTTCTATATACAAAAAAACATGTAACTTTCAACCCTTCTCTGCTTTTTTTTTTTTTACAAACAAAGTATGAAACTCATTGTTTCAACAGATCCATATCTTTCAAACACTGAATGAATCATTTCGACATTCATTTTTCTTTTGTGCAATTTTTTCAAACATTACCTGTACTCCTCAAAGTGAGTGCTTCAAAATTTTTTTCTTCAGCTTCTCAAATTAGGTGTACATTAAAAAAAAAATTCCCACAAGTTATAGTGCTACAAGAAAAGATCCTATCAGTAAGGTAACATATTTGAAGCGAGGTCATCTATGTAAAAGAAATCTCAGCTCCGGAGTAGAGGTGTGCAAGTTGTTTGGAGTTTCCCTATCAACAGAAACACAACACTGTCCGTGGAAAAGAGAGAGGAAACCAACCCAACACAATAGTATATGCATGTGCTTTATAAAAAAGTATATTCTCTGTATTTTTATTACTTGATGTGTTCTTAAAGTCTCTATTTCAGAAATTCTGGGTTAAAAACACAAGTGTGGATGCAAAAGCCTCCACTCAGGAAAAAAAAAAAAGTGTAATTCTCTTTCCTTTCATATCACCATTGAAGAAACTGGATTGGGTCATGGAGTCTGCCGGCCCTGTTTTCACCTGGAATCATCGAGGGTGACTGGGAAATTGAAGTGCAAAGGGTTTCAGAAGAGAACAGACCAGTTTGTTGAGCTGCTTGCGGTTCATGAAACAGTAGCCATGACAACCAACATAGCTCAAAAAGCCTGGCCTTCGGTCCGAGCGCTCTGCTTCCTCACCCATATCTGAAATAGCATGGCATTAGTGTCTTCAAAAGCATTGGAGATTTTCCTCTCTATGAAAGAAATAGGTTTCCTTAGTAGTCACAGATGTTAAAAGGGTATTGTCAATTGTTTCCTTAAAAAAAAAAGAAAACAAAACAAAATCCAAAGCTACAACAACAAAAATAAATTTTGGCAACATATTTCAGTAAAGATCAAACTATGTGCAAAGAGTGGATTTTATGATTACGAGGAGCTACTGTTCGTCTTGAACATGCAGCATTCTATTGCAATCTAGGTGGTATCTAAGAAGTAATCCACAAGATGCAGGAAATCCAAACATTCCTTGAAATTGTACAGCCCTACTCCAGAGCAGTCAAAGTGCTGCTTCTGGACACATCAGTGTACCACACACACACCAGCCCCGTCCCTGAGTAAGAGGTGTGAAAGGTTCCGCAGAGTCCCTTTAGGGGGGAAGGAGGGATGCTGCCACTTCCTGGTGGGGGGGGGGGGGGGGAA